GGGGGGGGGGGGGGTGTAAAGTTTAGTGAAAATTTTTAGATTATATATAGGCTCTATCATTCAAATGTGGGTTTTTATGTCCCAAATTGTCACAGCAGCCGCTCCTTGGAACTTCGAATGTTCTTTCCTCGTTGCCAGCTGTTTGTTGCTATTAATTGATTTTTAGCAGAAAAATGAGAAATTTTGTGTGAATGCGAAAAAGTAAGAGCAATAAGTGAACCATCTGACTTTGGGATGCCGTTTCGAGCTCCCATGCCAGTCAAAGTGAATCAAACATCGTCATGAGCACTATCGACAAGCCAGGCTGAAGAAAATTTGTATTTCTTGTCTTATAATAATATTTCGCCATCTCACATGACGCTGTGTTTTATGCTGTTTTCCATCTTGATCTGTGATGAGAATTCGAAAAATTCCCTTAATGGAACAAAGGCCCAGCTTGACCAAGTGAGTACCAGCCCTCCTGCAGTGGAGCAATCTGAAGTTAACAAACACCCGTAAGTCTCTCTTGAAAGTGCAGTAGGGTAGCCTATTTCGTATAAAGTATTCTTTTCTAGTGAAAATGTCTCGCTGTGCTCTTTAGGTGTGGTCGTAAAATGCTTTATTTATACCTACTCTTCGTAATCTTTTCACAACAAACAAAGTCATCTTCTTTGAGTTCATGTCTTGTTCTTTGCGCGTTTGACAACAAAATGGCCATCAAATTGCCCCAGTTGCTCGAGTGTTTTGTTCTCATCTTGTTTATTAACCGGATACAAACAGTTACCTTAGAAGATGTTCAGAAAATGAAAGATGACCTAAGCAAGGGTATGCCTTTTTGTTGCTCATTACTGCAGTTTTTCAATTGACCATGCCTATTCACTGTTGCGTAATGAATCCTAGAATTTCTATTTCTTGTTTTATATTGCTCTTTGCCCCAGACAGGTATTTCAATGTTCTTTGGCCCCCGGAGGTTCTAGAGTTGTCAAATGTACATGTTTCTGTCGTCATAGGTATTTAAACTCTTTTTGTAACATTTTTTCGAAAATTCTTAATAGAAAAACAATCAAAGTTTTTTACAAATATAAAATTTTGAAAGCATCACGCAGTGATTTGTTAAATGCATCGTTTCCTTGTAGACGCAAACAATTAATTCTTTTCATTGGGATGCAAGACGACCTTTTTTGAAAACATATGCGCCATCGTTGACGTATACGGAAACGTAATCTTTCGCCTTGGCAGTAAACAATAACAATTATTCTCAATAATATCAGTAACATTACATCCTTGAATTCTAGATGCACCAGGAGTTATGCAGGGACAATTTAGGGACAATGTTCATAACAAATCAGAAACCAAAGGGTGACCTTAAAAATCTTCTTTAGGATTATTTATTTTTGACCACAAAACCTTAAAGAATACCCCAAAATACTTTTTGTTGTGTATAGTTAGCTAACTTTGTTGCAAATTGACTAAGACATGGCAACTTAAGGGACTAAGTTCTGCTGATAGAACTATGAAAGCCAAGAACAAATAACAGTTGCTCAACAGGGAAAAATTTGGTGCTCATGCTACCATATATGAGCAATTTTGTAGCACAATTAGCTGGTTGTGCACTTTAAAATTATGCTATTTCATATTGATCAATTAGTTTATTTCATGAAGGGACAAAATTTCTGAAAAAAGGTTATGATGTCATTAAATTGACATTCTGTTATCTTTATCGTTGGCAGGTTGATCAAATACAGAATGATCTAAACAATTAACAATAATAATAATTAGACAATGATTTTTTGCCATAAAAGGCAATGAAAATTTACATTGCAAGAGGGTGTAAAGGTCTTCAAATTTCAATAAATCTTAACTGAGGTCCTAACTTTAAGAGATCTTGACATAAAGACTTTTTAGAATTTGAAAGTTAAGAAACGTCCCGCCGATGAAAAAATCTTCTTATAACTCGCCACCGACCATGAAAAATTTTTGTTCTAAGAGTTTTAGTCTCGTTTTAATTTGGTGATGTCTGTCATGGTCCATTTTAATCACTCTGATCGCGATCATCTTTGCTTAATGAAAAGATTTTATGCAAGTCATTGGGCTGAGACCCAACACTCGGCATGAGACTCTTGTCTGGATTTTGAACAGAACAGTTGTCCTACCAAGTCTAAAATCCAAAAAATTCATCATGTTTGCGTCTAATATCTGTTAAACAGGATCTCAGTGCACTTATTGGTTGCCTAACAATTGCTCGACTCTTTGGTGTTTTGAGGAGCTTCTGGTTTATTGACATGACATCAAATTGCAAGCTGGAAACAAACTTTCTTGCTACACGTACCAAAATAGATGCAGTGATGTCATCAAGATGACCGTTTAGAAAAACTACATCGAAGGGATTTAGATAATCTTAGGGATTATGGAAAACTAATTAACTGTAAAGCGTCGATTTAGCCAACATATTTTGAACAAGGCCCCTTTCTATTTATCCATTTAATTCTAAACGATTTTTCTTGGAAGAAGCCATAGCCCCGAATTAAACCTCATAGGGTGTTTTAGAATATGTCGCCTAATGCATTACACACAACTGATTTTCATGTTTTATGATACCTCTGAATTCTATTAGATTTAGCCACACTAGATGTTTGAAATAAACCTTTAATTCTTAATTCCTGACAACATTCTGAATTAATTCAAAGGCATCTTGAATCGACACACATACACGATCTTATAAGAAACGCAGTTTTCAAAACCAATATATTAAGAATAAGAAGATAGCACATACCTTGGCCACTTACAATTTCGTACCCAGATGATAAGCATCCTAGTACCAACTCTTTTGATGTGGATTTTCTATACATGGCTCTTCTTCAGCACCAGGTTTCTAGAATTGAAAAAAGACAAGCTTGAGCTTAGTCTAAATTCCACCTTCCTCTCTTTCTTATCTTTTTCCTTTTCCCTCCCTTTTATTATTTTTTGTTGTTCTTTTCCTGTTTGGTTATAAAGGAAATGTGCATGTACACAGCCTTTGTGGTATCGTCCTGAATTTTCTAATGTCGTAAAATTGTCAATACTTTACATTATGTTGATATTTTTTTCTTTTTCCTCTTGTTATTTTTAAATTGTAAATGACTGCACCGGTGATGAAGCAGGGAAAATTTCAGTAATAATTGTCCTATGCTCGCGGGCTTAATTTACAATTCCGTAAATTTTTCATAAATACTCGGCTTGCTTCATCCCGAGTGTTGTCATTCATCGTATCTTAGTTGTAAAGTCGATATTGTTTTAGAGCAAACTTATGTAATATGTCTGTGTTGCAATTGAATTGGTTTATAAAAGAATGCCTGAATTCAGAAAACAGCCACCTCAAACCACTACTTAACATCATTACCTAACCTAAAAACATTATTAGTTTAATGTTATTTGGGGAGCAAAGTGTTCTCACTTGCAGCAGAACATTGATTCACTATTGTTTGTTAAAATAGAAATCGTGACCAGCTGAAAGCCAGAGATCCTACTCATGGCCACCATTGCCTTTAATCATTTTATGTCACTATGTTATATCATCATGCTATGTCATCGTTTCATGATATCGTGTTACGCCATCGTGTTATTTCATTGTATTACACCATTATACAATAGCACGTGGGTTGGGTAGAGGACTTGTCGAATGACGACAACGTTATAAAAGGAACAAATGATTGCTTATTACGTAACTTGATAGGGAAAGGGAGACCAGATTGCATTACGGATTTGGGATTGACATTCTATTAGTATTTAAAGGAGAACTGACACGCAAAAATAAGTTTTGCTAAAACGGTAGTTTGTGACAAGCAATTTCCGGGATCGAAAAAATTTTTTAAATCACAGTTACCGTTTTTGAAATACAGGCGTTTTAGGTTGAGAAACGACAATTGTTCCGACAACTTGAGACTCGAGGCGAAAATCGTCACGATTGGGCGATCATCTTTGACGTCACAAGTGACATGTTCTCAGCACATATTGTGTTTCTCTATTAGTATGTAAAAACTAAAGGCAAGAATGAGCCAGAGAATGGTCAAAAAATATAATAAATACTTATAAGTTATTGGGGAGCTAATGCCTCCACAGAATACCAGCACCGATTTCAGTGTCCCTGTCAGTTAATGAAAGAACAAAAGCTTATAAGAATCCCTAGTTAGCAGGAGTGACACGTTTTGAAAAAACAAACATTGAAACGATCGACTATTGGATAATGGCTTTTTTTTGGAAATCTGGAGACGCTTTTTGAATCAAGGAAAAAGAAGGATTTTCGTCTTCGTTTCTAAAATTTTACATTTCTGCAAAATCTTCTCCAATTTTGATTCAGTTTGTAAGACTAGTATTTTGTAATGCCCTGTTACAATGGCAAAACTAAATAGATAAAGACAATGTAGAAGTGCATGATATCAGAGAAACAATCAATACGTTATCAAGGGCAATATGGACAAAATCTGGCGTTGCATAAAATGCTAAGCAATTGTTGGTAATGGCATAGTCAAAACCTATCAAGATTTCTGAAACCGGACTGCTCCTTTCTAGAGAAGAATTCTAAAATTTATTAACCCGGATGAATTCAAAACAAATAATTTGTTTAATGTTTAATTCAATCCTTAGGTACGTAGCATGTACCAATTGTATTTGTGGCGTTTACTTCAATATCGTCCTATGAATCTTCTTACGAATTATGATCTTTGTATGAGAGTGAAAGAACATATTTTTCCAGAGCTCAAGTCGATGGAGAAAACAGTGGCAGCGAAGAAAAGTGTATACAAAGGTATAATTGCAATGATAGATTCAAATTTGTACTTTGACTTACAAGCTAGAAAAAACCTCTCCAAAAGGCTGGGGGATAGATTGTTAAAATATTCAGTACTGTCGGAAAGATTCATATTGGGGGGCTGCCCATTGTAATGCTTCCCATTCAATATACTGTTATAAAGAAAATATAGTATAATGCGATAATAATTGGGGGCTCCAGCTCCTTGCAGCCCCTTGCAGCCCCTTGCAGCCCCTTGCAGCCCATTGCAGCCCCTTGCAGCCCCTTGCAGCCCCTTGCAGCCCCTTGCAGCCCCTTGCAGCCCCTTGCAGCCCCCCCTCTCCGCTTCTTACGGCCCTGATACTTCTACAAACACTTCAATTACCAGGAATGGGAGGGGGTGAACAAAGTACCTTTAGCTCTAGTACTTAAACAGCAAAGATTCACCCTGGTACTTTATCAAAATATCATCTGTCACTGAACATAGCCCTAGATTAAAGAGCTTACAATGTTACTAAAGAAATTTAGTCTCAAGTTATTTTTCATTATTACAACACTGATTCTTTAAAACTGTATACGATGAAAAAAAATGAAGAACAAAAATGGCTTCTTAGTAAAATTTGCCACAACAGGTAAATCACTTTATAACCAGCCTTTACTTTCAAATCTAATTCTCAACAGATCCTTTAGATGGCCCGGAAAAGCTGGAAAAAACATACGTCAATACGTTTTGTCGTGAATTACTTAATCGAGTACGCTTTCCCGCTTTTCTGTGTTACCTTCCAATCTTGCAGTACCCAAATTATTCTTACAATAATTCATTCAAGGCTTACAATCTATTCATTTACACCCTAACAGATAACCAGTACGAAGTGGTTCTGAGCGACTTAATCCAGCATGATCTTCAAGAGTCTTTGAAACATTTTACAAAGGATGCAGGTAGGAAGAAGCTGTAGTGCAGGGGACGGTAATAAGAGAACAACCAATACCCAGAAGGTGTTGCAGACGAGAGGGGCAGGACCGCCAACAGAAAGGGGGTAGCCGGGGCAAGTGTCTTGGGACCCGGGCACATTTTGGGCCCGTAGTGATGGAATCTTTATTAACTGTAATATTCTGGAATCTATGTTCGTTGCTAAGCAAGGGGCCTCTACTCATTGGTTGCCCCCTGGGTCCGGACTCGCCCTCAGCGGTCCTGTGGAGGGGCTAATGTCATTTGCATGCAAAATCCTACAGTTAAAAATCTTTAAGAAAGCATGCCATATCTTTATTGATTTATTATGGCTCAAACAGGAGCAACACTTAAAAGCTTATCTATAAAACGATAGATTGAGTTCATCTTCACCGTCAAAACGCAAAAACGTTGTTTATTGTAAGTTGATGGAAACTCTCTATTAAAAGTAGCTCGAAGAGATTCTCAACCAACAAGGATCAGTCCAGAATAAACTTTTTGGCTACTAGACAGGGACATTGTCGGTGGAAGGTGCTTCCTTGGATTCAGTATCAGTTGCCAAAACATTTACTGCGAACATTAGTGACACATTGTCAACCTTTTACCGTAAACGCCATTATGACATTTTTAACGAATTTTTCTGTACTTTTGTTTTATGTGCCTGAAACGTATAAATTTCGATTATGGAATATCAATTGTACCTATCATGATCATAATAATATTTCTTTTACATCAAATCTGAGCAAGAAACTGTTATTATCTTTATATATCATTAAATCAACATCAATTTGTTTGACTTTGAAAAGGGCCTGAGGAAACAGCAATGAAAATGATCAGGAAACTAATCGATGAAGAAAAATCAGGATATGTCGATGGTAAACAACATTTCATGCAATATTCCAATTTATCAAGTTTTTTTTGGTTTTTTTGCAATTAATTTCTTCTTATTTAACTATAAATGATGATATTTCAAAATCTAAAGTTTAATTCATTCTTTATGGAGTGTCAGTTATATAAAGTTTTTATATTTTGAACGATGAGTCTTCAGCTTTAACATTTTATTAATTCATAACAGCTGATGACAAGATACTGGATCGACTCATTGCTAAAGAGAAAGAAGAAAAACAGCAAGGTAAGGGATGAATTCATTTCGAATTTAATTTAAAAGATTGTGTTATAAGTGTTTTACGTGTAGACGAAAAAGGGTTATGGAGAAACTGTAAGATTGTACATGGAATTTATACAAATTTAGCTGAACAATTAAATTTTTCAGTAACGCTTTTTTCACTGGTATCCAAAATGTCAAGGTGTACCACCAGTGGTGTTATTTACAAATGCGAGGTTAAGAGCTGGTACTAATTTTTTCCTTTGCAGTATCATTCAGTTAAATCCTATAGACCTTTTTTCT